TATTCGACCTCCTCATCATCAAAATCGTTCAGATCTAAGTACCTCTTTCGTTTCACAAAAATCGGAGTAGCAAAAGGAGTCTAAAACCAGATCTCTTCTTCTTCTCATAACTTTCAGATTCGAGTTTCGCAGGCTAGATTTCTCAAGCTGGATACGAAGCACTTAGATGTGTTTCAGATTTAGAATTCGAGTTTCCGGTCAATGTTTAGCACTTAATGTGTTGAAAATGCTTTGTTAAATATCTGTTCTTTAAAACTGAGAGGATCATGAAGTTCTTCGTTAAATTATAGTTTTCAATCTGAATTAAGAAAAAGAAAAGAAAAGAAAAAAAGAAAAAAATGAGAAGGGAAGGGAAGAATGAAGAAGACGAAGGAAGGGTATATAATTTTGTCATTTGTTTTTTTTTTTTTTTTTTTTTTGGGTTGGTTATTAAAATCTCTAAATCAAAAAGGTTTGACATGCAAGTGATTTGAAATCGGTTTGAGTGATTTTAATTGGGTTTAGTTCGTAAACCGATTAAACCCAGATTTATGGGGAAATAGATGAAAACTATCGATTTGGAGAGATATAGATTCAAAAGTATTTTTTTAGGGACATCTAAATCGTGGTCATAGTTTGAGCTCTATCTGTTATGATGTCATACTTCTTGTGGGGAAATAGACCGTTTTCCCTATTTGGGACAAGGTTTTATGTTTTTTTTTTCACTAATTTAGTTTAGATGGTGACAAGATTTGTAAATACCGACCAAACATTGACAAAGCTCTAGGCTTTGTATCATAACAAGACAAAACTCAAAAAGATAAAAAGCAAATCTTTTAACAAGGATATATACTTAATAGCTTCTAATCTAAATCCACATCCAACTAGTTTACTGGAAAACTTTCTTCAGCATACTGTCAGCTTACATGCTCTTGAGCCTCTGCTTGCAAATACCAATTCCTCAATCACCTTAAGTCTGCGCGACAATTTGACCGAGTCAAGGTCGATAGTTGCGGTCAATAACCGTCTTGCGTTCTTCAGAATATACATAGCCATTTGTTTCTCTTCTTCTCTTCCTTCATAGTCTCTCCATTCAAAGGTTTTGATATTCAACAACAAACATTCGGGAACAAAACTCGGTTGAATCCAGCCACCTTTACGATCCACAGCCATCCAATGGTTCTACAATCAAATGTTGTCGAAAATAGGGATGCATTAGACATTAGATATATATAGACCTTAAGACCAAAAAACAAAACATGAGACTAGCTATAAACTTGGATATTTGCATTCTTTGGGTAGGGATGAAAGTTACCACCGCAAGCTTGAGAATTTGTAGTTTAGGGGATTGTTGGAGCACACACACAAACATATTCGACCAATTCTCTATGCACATACATAGCTCCAAACGCACAAGTTGAAAGAAAACGCTACCAGTAGGATACTGCGCCTGCAGAGGACACGATATATAGCAAAAGATTCAATATTTAAAGCTTGCAAGTGTTAGAGAACCACATCAAAGAATCAATTGAGAACAGCTTTACCTCAACATCTAAGCATAGAGAAAGGCGTCTGATAGAGTTAAGAGATTTCAGAACATTCTCATGGCGGCTCAAAGTTTGAAGATTGGCCTCGACAAGCTCTGGCATATTACCGATAATACTAACTTCACCACAGTAATCTAAAATGCTTAGGAGCTTTAAAGAATGGGAATGTATCACAAACAAATGATTATCAGGTCTGCATTCTAGTAACGAGTTCCTAACTGTCAAACTCCTAAGGGATGGTACATTGACAGTGAAAGTTGCTACATTATCATTGTTACAACTTTCTACATCCAAATCTTCGAGAACAGGACAACAGGAAATAATCCTACAAAAAAGTTCCTCATCTGAGTATTTCACAGATCGAAGGCGCAATGTCCTGAGGGATCGAAAGCTAAACCGAGAAGGAACTTCCAAAAGAACCACCCTGTGGAGTTCCAAGGTCTCAAGTGTTTCACATCTAAAGAAGCTACTCGGCAATCTAATAAGGCCATGATCATAGTTAAAACTTATCTTCAGATCACGCACGAAACGCTCCACGGCAATTCTAATCCATAAATCAACCTCCAAAGCAAGACGATCTGAAGCAACGTTGAGATGAAATGTTTCAAGAACAGGTGCCTTATGATATAGCAAAGTCCCATAAACAAAATGTGACAAATCTCTCTTTAGTTTCAGCATCCTTGTCCTCGTCTGAGTAATCTTCAAATATAAGTCTTGGCACCAATGTCCAAAGGGACTTCCATCGTTTAGACAACATGCTCATGGCCACGGCATCTTTTGTTTCGACTAATGACAGTATCTTGATGATTAAATCATCAGACAATTGACTTATCTTGTCCATATAATTATAAGCACAAAGAACTCCAAAAGCTATGTTTTTTCAACTTTTTACTTGTCAATTCCCAAAATCTCGAAATCAAAGACGAAAAGATGAAGAATTTTCGATCTGACTATAACTGGAAAAAACAAGAACACCAAAAGAATTGTGAATTTTCAAGATTGATTTCGAGATTAAACTAAAGGTCTACGAAACCAAAAAGAAGTAAAATCAAATCTGAGAATCGAGACATACCTAAGTGACGATTCCAGTTCAACTCTCACATCAGTTCGTCATTTGAGAATTGCGATAAACCCTAAAAATCCTGAGTTGGTTTTACCCTCAAATGTCTTTAAACGAAAGCGGCAAAACTTGGATCATTGGATCATCAAACCCATCAACTAGTGGGCTAATGGAAAATTTGAGACTTCTAATTAAAAACGGGAAAAATGTCAGTTTAATAGCCGAACTTTTTTTAAAATAGTCATTTTAACTTCGAACTCTGTAAATGGCCATTTTATACGTGAACAAAAAGTTGACCAGCCATTTGAACTAAGGAAATGTGTTGACCAGGCCAAAACGACACACCGTTAACTCTCGTTAACAGAACTGCTAACACCCGTTAACATCCGTTAAAGAGTCTCCGTCTGAGATGAAACGACGTCGTTTTACCCTAAACTAAACCCCCAAGTCGACGTCGTTTCGGGCTCTTCATCCTCCTCTTCAACTCTGACTTTCCTTCGTTTTCTTCTTCGACCTGGAGCACGAGTTTCAGCTTCATCTCCTACAACAGACTCTGAAACTACATTCGTTGGAGCTTCCTCTTCTCTACCACAAGACTCTGATACAACATTGGTTTGAGCTTGCATTCCATCTCCGATACCATCTTCTTCGCCTCGCGGTGGTGCTTCAACTCCATCTCTCATAGAACTCTCAGATTCGCCAAGCATTGGAGAGCCCATCCTCAAAATGACGCCTTTGTGTCTAACTATTGGCATTAGGGAAGACGAATTGAGAATTTGGGTTACGGGTTAGGTTTAGGGATTTGATCTCTCGATTTGGGGATAATTTTGATTTGGGGGTTTAGTTTAGGATAAAACGACGTCGTTTCATCTCAGACGGAGACTCGTTAACAGATGTTAACGGGTGTTAGCGGTTCTGTTAGCGAGTGTTAACGGGGTGTCGTTTTGGCATGGTCAACAAATTTCCTTAGTTCAAATGGCTGGTAAACTTTTTGTTCACGTATAAAATGACCATTTACATAGTTCGAAGTTAAAATGACCATTTTTTGAAAGTTCAGCTATTAAACGACATTTTTTCCAATTAAAAACCCCAACTTTTTCTGTTGTTGGTGTGTAAAGTTTCTATCTTTTTTAGTCTTTTACCAAAGATAGTGACAGATTTGTTAAAAACAAAAACAAAGCTCAAGGCTTTTCATCAAGAACCAGATTACCTTCCTAGTTCCAACTTTATTGGGTACAAGAGACAGAGCAATGATATAAGAAGCTATAAGCTATAACAAAATTATGATATAAATCCACATCAAAACTAGTTAATTGGACAGTTTAACACTTGGTAAGATTAATTTTCATCCCATTGTAAGCTCACATGCTCTTGAATCCCTTGACGCAATTTCCAATTCTTCAAACATACGATGTTTGCGCACCAACTTGACTGAGTCAGGGTAGATAGTTGCATTCACTAATCGTCTTGCGTTCTTCAAAATATACATTGCCACTTCTTTCTCTGCTTGTGTTCCTTTGTAGTCTCTCCACTCAAAAGTTTTGAGATGGACCAACAAACATTCAGGAACACGCTCGGGCTGGATCCAGCAAACTTTACGAACGATATGGTACTGGTTCTGCGATCAATACATTACACTGTTAAACCGGAAACCAAACATGATTGATATACTTGCACTCTTTGGACAGGGAAAAAAGTACCAGCTCAAGCTTGAGAACTTGTAGTTTAGGGGCATGCTGGAGCACACTCACAAGCATATTTGTCCAGTTATCTTCACAGGAACATAGCTCCAAACGCACAAGCTGGAATAAAACGGTACCAGTAGGATACTGAACCTGCATATTAAGCAAAGGAAACAATGTACTTTTTTTCAGAGTAGCTACTATTTTATCAAGTTCAGAACTTCCAATCGTGAATAAGATGTTGGATTTATTCGTTTAGAACAATATCGAAAATATGTTGAGATCAACAAATTACCTCTCCATCTAAGCATATATAAAGACACTTGACAAAGGTAAAAGATTCCAGAACCTTGGCACGACGGCACACATATTGAAGATTTGCCTCAACAAGTTTGGACATTTTACCTATCAGATTAGGGTCACCAAAGTAGTCCACAATGTTCAACTGCTTCAAACAATGGGAATGTATCACAAACACTTCATCAACACGCGGGAACTCTCGTAATGTATTCGCAATGGATAAACTTTGTAGGGAAGCCACATTAACAGTGAATGTCACCACATTGTCCTTTTCACAAGTTTCCACAGCCAAAAAGAACGGGGCAATTTGATATCACCCTAAAGAAACATTCTTCATCTGAGTACTTCACAGACAAAAGGCGTAACTTCTGAGGGATCGAAAGCTAAACCGAGAAGGAACTTCCAAAACAATCACCCTATTGAATTCCAAAGTCTCAATTGTTTCACATCTAAACAACCTACTTGGGAGCCTAACAGCGCCATGAGCATAATAAAAACTAATCTTCAGATCACGCACAAAACGATCAACTGCGATTCTAACCCATAAACCAATCTCCGAAGCGCTACATTCTGAAGCAATGTTGAGATGAAAACATTCTAGAACCGCTGCCTTATGTAACAGCAACGTCCCGGAAACAAACTGCGCCAAATTTCTGGGATGATGATTCTCATTAGTCTCTTCATCCTCATCATCCTCTGAGGAGTAATCATCAAAGACAAGTCTTGGCACCAATGTCCAAAGAGACATCCATCGTTTAGACACAACGCTCATGGCCACAACATCTTTGGTTGGGACTAATGACAAAATCTTGATGAGCAAATCATCTGATAATTGACTAATCTTGTCCATAACTCCAAAGCTTGCTTTTTTAGCGGAATCTCGAACTCAAAAGACGAAAAGATTAAGAATTTTCCACTAGAATTTAACCTGGAAACAACAAGAATATGAAATAATTGTGGAATTTCAAAAGGGTATCCTCAAATACGAAGAAGTAGAAGAGTTCACTCACAGTCACAGACTAAGGGGGTGTTATTGGTTTGTGATTTAAATAGACTTTTAGTGACTTTAAATGTTATGTAGAATCTGTTGTTATTCAATCAAGATTTTTTAAAAGTTTGTTAAAGTTTGGTGTTATTAGTTTAAGATTTGTAAAAAGTAATCTAAAATCTTCATAAATCTGGAGTTATTGGATCCATACTCTTATAAAGTCATTAAAAGTTTTGTGTTATTCAATTACAACAAAAGAATCTATGATTGTTAATGAATTAAATTATTATGTTATTGGTTTATGACTTTCTACACTTTTATTCACAAAACAAAGTCATGAAAAGTATCATCAAAATATAGAGATTGTTTGGGAAATTATGACATACTAATCAACAAGATTATATAAAATTCTCAAAAACTCTCTAAGAATAGTTTAAAATCTTTCATTTGTTTACTTTCTATGATTTTATTAAAGTCATCCAAATTCCATGTAAATTAGGAACCAATAACACCCCCTAAACCTAAATTGTGTAATTGGAGATTAAACCTAAATCCTCAAATTGATTTCTTTTTCTCCCATGTTTAATAAACCGAACCAGGAGCGAACCGGATATAGATCATTCCGCGCTAACCGGATATCAAACCCATTATTTTGTTTTTTTTTTCACTTTTTGGGTCAAAGATATTGTTATAAACCACATGTTGGATGGACTCCATAACCGTGGGCCTTATGCATATTCTAGAAGGCCCGTGTCCATGTCCTAGAAGGCCCATGCCCATGTTCTAGAAGATTCTCCTTTTAGGATCCATTTTATACTTAGTGGGCTTTTGGGCTTTAGGGTTTACTAACCCAATGAGGATTTGTCTCCTCTCATTATGTATATATATGTAACGAACTTCATTCATTAATACATTGAAAACAATAAGTTTACAACAGATATGTATTATGAAAAAAATACTTAAAAAATTTAATTACGAAATTTACTAAATAAAAACAACCAATCAAGAAACACAGTAATTTATGATGAACTCATTTGTATTTGAGAAATTTCATTATCTTTTGAAGAAAATTCAAAGGCTTACATATGGTAAAAATAAACAAAAGACAAAAAAAATTCAAACTTAAAAAGCAGAAAAATAGTGATTCATGCTTCTGAAGATTCCATATCATAGGACTTGATGAGCATTCCCATAGTATCGGTTAATGCACGGTGACTGTCACATATTCAGGTTTCTTATATGTTCGTTACTGAAAAACAGTATTAAACTAATTTGAGAAGGCGGGTTTATTTTGTTTATTACCGTCTTGAATCTAGGGACGTCTGGTGAAAGCTGAGGGTAGAATTTGTAGAACTTCATGTTTTGAAAGGCTTCCTTAGTTTCTTCACTCATTTCTTCTATCATTTTCAATCGAGTATCTCTTGCCTGTAAGAATAATACCGTATTTAGCAAACAGTATGTAGCTAAGCTTACATATAGTTTCTCAGTCGGGTTACATTTTTTTACCTTTCGTTTAGCTTTCATTACTGCTTGAGCACGCCCTATGACAAATTTCTGAGAAAAATGGTAATTAGAGAATAGTCAAGCGTTTTGAACTGACAATTTGTGTTATAGCTCAAACTTACATTGAATTCTCTCTTTTGTTCCGCGGATAATTCTCCCTCTTCAATCAGTCTATCAACAAAGTCCTGATATAGATGCACAAAAAGCCATCTCAACATCATCATACCAACAACATCAACATTTTACAATTTTTTTGGTTAAAGAAAAAGCCAAACACATACCTCAAGTTTTTCACAGCTGAAAGGTTTGAATTTTGACCAGTCAACACAATCGGTTTAACCATTAACCTCAATTATTCAGACTTTAACTGGCCATGAATCCATGACACATGCCACTGGATTAAATTCAAAATTATTTGTAAAATAATCTCCACAAACATTACTTGAATCTTTGTCTCATTAACAAACTTTTACATATACAAAAAAGCAAAACTCATTTAAGAGAAAAAAAGCTGTAATAGTAACCCTAAATAGTAAATAGTGTACAAATTCTATAAAAAAGAAATTTTCTTGTGAAGCTTCTTCTAAATTGGATTCATGACAACGTCTCCTTCTAACATCCGCAACACCTTCCATTGAGAAGACACAGATGATCCAGAGATAAAAGAAAAAGTTAACATTCGAAAAATTCGATTATAAGTTTTTAACTTGCAAGTGTTTTTAAAAGAGCTATAGGCAGCAAACCTGAGACATTCGTGGCCTCGAGTTAGGGTCACGGCGAATGCAGAGGTAAGCACATAGCGCCATACAATAAACTTCTTGCTCACAGTAGCAATTCATTAGACGCGGATCAAGAAGTTCGTTAATGGCTTGTTTCTGCAACAATGGTCTTGCCTGCAGAAAAGTACAAGAATGTTTCTTCTTTGTAAGCAAAGCATTCAGAGCTTTAAAGACTAAAACTTTGAAATACAGTTGTTTTTGGTTTTACCCATTCGGTGAGACATTGTTGACCTTTAGGACGTTTTATGTCCATAGCTTTTCTTCCTGTGATAAGCTCAACTAAGACTACCCCAAAAGAGTAAACATCTGCTTTCTCTGTAATCTGTCCACTTTGTGCGTATTCAGGTGCCAAGTACCTGTAGTAAAACAGGAAACATCTTAGTTATTGTGTGTACAAGTAAATCAAGAAGAAGAATAACTCAAGACCATGGCATAAGATTACCCGAAAGTTCCAATCACTCGAGTTTCCACTCCTTTATCTCCTTCTGGTTGCCATCTCGCTAGCCCGAAATCTCCAACCTAGAATGTTAAAACGTTTCAAGCTTAGCACAAACCTGAAAGACACAGAGAGAGCTTGAGAAAAGTTTTATCATTCTTTTTACCAAAGGCTCAAAATCATGAGTGAGAAGAATATTGTTAGGACGCATATCCCTATGCACGATGCAACCGACTCTGCATTCTTCATGAAGGTATCTCAACCCACGAGCTGCTCCTACCGCAATCTTTTGTCGTGCTGACCATCCCAATGGCTCTCTCCCCATACCTATGAAACTTTTATATTAGTAACAAATTTTCAGAATAAAAACAAGAATGTTCTTTTTTGTATACCAAAAGTAGAAACTTTACCATAAAGATGAGAATGCAAGGATCCATTACAGATATACTCGTAAACGAGTAATCTTTTCCCATCCTCCACGCATAGTCCAATGAGCATTACAACATTCCGATGTTGTGCACAGCTCAAGACTTCAACTTCAGAGCAGAATTCTCGGTCACCTTGTGTACTAGCAATCTTATATTGTTTGACAGCAATAATTTGACCATCTGGTAAAGTTCCTAGGTGAACTGAACCAAACCCACCTTCAGCCAAGAAACTCCCTTTCGAAAAACCTTTTGTTGCGGTCTCCAATTCGCCGTAAGTGAACCATCTTGGAGGGTTTCCAAATTTAGGTGCCTTGTGTTGACATATGGTACATAGTGGAGGAGGTCCAGGAGCTGGCTTTCTGGATAAAGAAACAACTTCTCTCACGCTTTTGTTTAAGCATGTATCAGAATTACGGATTTCCTTTCCTGGTTCAGGTTCTCTCTTCGATAAAGCGAGCCTAAGAACCGCAAATCTTGATTTCCTCGGAGTTTCGGTATGAGCTTTCAATAAATCCCCACTAGGACTCAGAATATCAGCTGTTGTCACAGGATGAGAAGATGAAGAGGCCATTGATAAAGGACTCCACTTTTCACCATCAGAGTCAGAATCAGATTCAAAGAAACTCTTGTTTCCATCATTAACCCACAAATTTTCTTCCTTGAGACCCTCAAAGACTCGAGAAGCTAAAAACGGTGAGGCTCCAGCATCAGAGCTAGATATTGATGAAGTCCCAATATCAGTATGTGAAGAAACTTCTTGGTCTGGACTGCTAGCCGGAGTCACAAACGGTTCCCTCAGCTTTTTTCCAGTTCTTGAGCTTCTCCAAGACTCTACAGACTTTGAGGCTAACCTTGATAAAGCTTCTGGATGCTCTGTATCTGCATTTTTCACCAAATTGAGACGAAGAACCTTTGGCTGTGACTTCTTGATTACAACAAGATTGCACTCCAATTGCTCAATACAGCATTTTTTCTCATACTTCAGTCCCCTGTTTAAGAATTATCAAAAGGTCAAGAATCATCACTAAAAAGCAAACTCTCAAAAGCTGTTTCGAAAACTAAGCATTTGCAACACACATAAATGTAGTGTTACCTGTCTAAAATCACCCAGTTTGAGTTGGATTTCTTGGCTTCAGCAGCAATAACTCCATCAGGTGAAGCAAAAACAATTTTGATTCTGACATTTATCTACATTGTTTAAGCAAATGACAACTCTTTATGATCTCATTAACCAACAAAGATGTTTCTTTAAAAATCTACATGAATAAAAGTGAGTTTCTCTACCTTCTCTGCATCATAAACATTGTGTAACTGAAACATCATCTGAGAACAAGACTCATGAATATCATCTTTCCTATCTGAATTCGTTCCAGCAAGAAATCTTCCATAACCTGAAGCACAGTCACTGGTAAACCTCGAAAACCCCCAAATCTTTTTACCTGAAAAAAACCAAGACAAAAAGATTAAATCTTTACACGTTCTTCTCCTTAAAAATCAGACAAAACCAGTGCAGAGCTAATTGATTGTCTACAGAACTAAGAAGAACAGTCCAAGATCTCAAGTTCAGCACCAAAAGAGACAAAATTTATCACCACTCAACACAAAGAAGTTGCTAAAACAATTGACAAAGAAGGGAAGAGAAAAAGATGATTTACTTGTGTAATTAGAAGGAACAACAACAAGAAGCCTAATTCGATCTCCAGGTTGAACAACATGAGTTAAAGTCCATAAAAGAGCTGCTTTTGGGATCTCCTTTGAAGCTCTAACAGCAACCATTACTTTCTTCCCCACTACAACACCTCTCTCTTTAAAACCCTTCTGCTTCATTCTCTAAGATTAAGAAAATCACAAACACAGAAATTGAAAGAACTTCTTCTTCAACTCTTGCTTACATACACTTTTAACACTTCACTCAATCTAAACCCATTTTCTGAAATGAGAAAAGTGGAAGTATCACGCAATCCAAGATGCTTTCTCAAGTGACCCCAGAAGCTAAAAGAAATATTAAAAAAAAAAAGTTGAGAAATTTACGCGTGTGTGAGTGTGTGTGAGATTCAATGTCTCTGAAACTATTTTTTTATCTGAGAGACACAAGAACAGATGCACAAAACACAACAGCACAAGGACCTATAGTGTACTGTACTCTCTCTCTCTCTTAATAACCAATCCCTAGATCTCTCTTTCTTGCTGAGAAATTTCAAAGCTTTGGTTAGGTTTTGAAGACTTTATGCTCCACGAAAATGGTGTGAGCATTGCTTTGCTGTAGAAAACAAGAAAAACTTGCTCATACTTTGTAAAGTGGGGCCAAAAAGCTGATGAAGTAAGTCAGGTGTTGGATTTTCAACTAAAATCAGAGGAATTTGGTAGAAGATAAAAGCTAAGGTCCAAACAATTAAAATAAGAAGTATTTTGGATTTGTAGCTCTGCTTGAAGGAAGAGACAATGGTGTGTTATTATTATTATATGATTGGTGTTTCTTTCTTTCTTCTTCTTCTTTCTCTATTTGTCTCTGTATTTTTTTGTATTTTAAATAAATTCCAAGAATAATAAAAGAATAAAGAAATATTCACAAAGTACTCTGCTTTATTCTAAAGAGAGCAAAAAGAAACCAAGAGAGTTGTGTCAAAGGATGATACTTAATTCCTTATCACACTTTTTTTTTTTGTTGATTTGATTTTTTAGAATTTATTAATGAAAAAATAAGACCGTTTTCTTTCTTCATGGACAAGTTATGGCCAACTTTCTTCTTTTATGAGGACAAAAGAACCATTATAGAATCGGTTCTCATAATTCATTCAAAAAAAAAGAAGAAGAAGAAAAAAATTAGAATGATATAATTAAGGAGTTGAACGTTGCACTTGCATGCTTTTCATGTTGCTTTTTATTTATTTCAGTGGAGAAAGTGAAAAAACAAAAGTTGAGTAAAGATGATTTGTACTTTATTAAAGCATATGAAAGGTGCTTCCAATAAATCAAAGTCTAGTGATGCGATCGAATATATCTTATGTTATCTTTCAAAATTAATCAATTTTAAGATCTTCTGATTTAGTAAATATATTCTGTTACTAAAGTGAAAAAGTTTGAAAACAACATTTTGGATTTAATGGCAGCATGAAACTACACTAGTCAGTTTTTGTCTTTTGAGTTTAAGCTCACAATTCGAGCTCTTTTAGAGTTTTTATATTAGTCTCAAATGTTATCAGCGTGTTAATTTTTAAGTTTTACTCTTTTCGGATTCCGATACCTGTCCTTCGATTATAGGGATGTATAGGTGAGCCGCTTGTCGACCTTCCGTAGAAACACATGGCTTATAGCTTCAACGTGGTTAGCATCCTTAGGGCAAGCCATCGAAGCTAGTAAATCTGATGAGTGATGAGTTAAGAAAATGATCACATTGTACTGTTTTGGTTGTGTGCGCACATATCGCATCCCATTACTAATTAGCTTTTCGTGAGATGTTGTGGGACATTAGTTGTCCCTATAATATTGATTCGAGAACTTCCAAAGAGAGATTTGACGTGGATCGTCGATCACACAAAAATTTCTTGTACATTCGACACCATGTGTCACAACCCGGTTGGTAAAATACCCGATAAACAAGATTTACCTCCAACAACATAAATTAAATTTGTTTTGTTATAAAACATGGCAAATACTAATTTTATAAGTATGTGTCTCTTGATAATACTTTTTTTTTTTAAAAGTGTATTTACGCATATTTTATTCTCAAATATTTGTGATTAACAAAGGATAGACAAGATTGGTTGAAAATGAATAATAACATGACAAATTTTGGTTTCTCATCAATAACTATTAATTTTTGGTGATAACATTTGCCAAATCGAGTAAAAGTGTAATAAAAATCCCAAAGAAAGAAGAAAATTTGACCAATTAAAAAGTTAAGTATTCACATTAAGAATGTAGATTCCCTTTGCTAATTACGGTTCTCAACATTATTGACTAATGTAAATAAAAAATCCCAACGGTAACTAATCCATAAACCGTACAGAAGAAGCTTCACCGTTCCAACGGTAACTTAAAAAACTTTCCCCATCTGACATAATAAAACAAAAATGGTCTCCTTTTGGATGGATCATTACATATAAACATCCATTTTTGGAGGGGAGAGATATACACTTTTCTTCATCTTTATCGGTTGTGTCTTTAAATTAACGAGCACTGAGAAAGAAAGAACAAGTCCACTTTAATTTAACGGTCACACTATATCATCGGTTTTATCGAAATGGAATTCGGCGACGGCGGTTCATTCGCCGTCGTCCCCACTGTCTTCAAGAGAGAAAACTATAAGCGGACTAAACACGACGCCGTTTTCTCAAAGTGGCAGGTCCTCTCTCTCTCTCTCTCTCTTTCTCCATTTGTCTATTTGAGATCGGGTTTTTGCTCGATCTTGTGTTTTCTCTGAAACCCATTTCGGGATTCTCAGATTTTCAGTTGTATCGAGAAATCTGATCTTCAATCTCCTGGAATTCGGTCTAAAGATCCCATTTTTAGAATCTATGAGATAAACTTAAGATTTGTAGAATTGGGAGAAGAAGTCTTCATTTTCTCTGGATATCTGTTAGGATTGGTCATTAGCTCTTACATCTATCTAATTAGCCTAATTCTGTTTCATTCATTACATTGCTACTTGCAGTAGTTGGTTTGATCTTTGTCTTATCTCTATGTGCTCTGATTGTGTAAAGTTTGATGCTACACTCATACTTGCATACACAGGTGTTGATAGGATCAAACGATTGGGAGGATTTCCAAACTGGGAAAGATGGTGTTGGTAGATACAGAGTCCACAACTTACCCCGCAAATCTTGCCCTGGTCTGTATGAGCTTGGTGTAGCGGTCATCGGTCAAGACCAAGGTCGAAAGCTTGAATCTGATGATGTTCTTGCTGCATATCTAGGACAAGCTGAAAGTGTTAGGTCTAGACTTCAGCGTTATGGAAGATCTGGTGCTCATTTGCGGAATGTTAACAACCTTAACGACTGTGAAACCATTGAGTCTCCAGTTAAGAAGGCTGTTACCGGTGGTTTATTTGAGGACATATTCTCGAAACAAGGCTCCATTTTATATAGATGGGCTCCGGTAAGTAAATATGTCTTCTTATCTTCTCTATTCGTCTGCTAAGTAAACAAGTTTGATATAACTCATGTGATTGTTTCATTGCTTTAATGTGATTTTTATCAGATGAGATCCAAGAGAGAAGCTGAGGCAACAGAAGGAATGCTTTTGAGCACATTTGACTATGCTTGGAACAAAGGAAGTAACGGGGAGCGACGGCAGCTTGATTTACTCAAGAAGCTCGGTGATCGCGAGTTTATGAGCAAGAGAAAGTCCGGTATATCGCGAGTGTTGTTTCCTTTTCTTCGGAACCAAGTTGGTATCAGAATCAAAGGAGAGAAGCATCTGCTTAAAGAAGAGAGGAAGCTAAGTTGTGATGTTGATGAAGAGAAGAGTAATAACTTCTTCACTTCAATACTCAAACTCACCAGGTCAAGACCTCAACCGGTTTCAGACAGATTTGAAGAGGTTGATGGTTCTTCTTCTGATTCTGTTTGTGGAGTCTTACTTGAAAATGGAGGTTGTTGCAATAGAAGTCCTGTCAAAGGAAGAAAGAGATGCATAGATCACAAAGGGCAGAGAGTTTGCCGTGTTTCACCCGAGAAACAGACACCTCCACAACCCGAGATTTTCACCGGACAAGATCATCACACTCACAAAGACTCTGATGTTATGTGTGGAGTGATCTTGCCTGACATGGAGCCTTGCAATAAGAGACCTGTTCCTGGAAGAAAACGATGTGAGGATCATAGAGGCATGAGGATCAATGCTTTTCTCTTTCTTCTTAACCAGACAGATCGTGAGAAAACCGTGAGAGACGAGATATCTAATCCCGAATCGCATACGGAGTCAAGCGAACAAGAAGCTTCGACTCGCTTCTGTGAAGCTACAACAAAGAATGGGTTACCTTGCACAAGAAGTTCTCCTAAAGGAAGCAAAAGGTGTTGGCAACATAAAGAGAAAACTTCCTGCAAACAATCGCCGGAAAATGTTCAGCCAGGAGCTGAAAAACTCGTAGCCTGTGGAGTTAAGTTATGTAATGGATTGATCTGTGAAAGATCTCCAGTCAAAGGTCGTAAGAGGTGTGAAGAGCACAAGGGAATGAGAATCATCACTTAACCTGATTGATTTCGGTATTAGTTTTCTGAATTGATCTTCTGTACCGGATTAAGCAAAATTTAATTTTTATTAATTTAAAAACAGATTAAACATTTCTTAAAAAAACAGTTCATCTATTAATTGGATTGTTTCTTTTCTATGCAAATAATAAAAAGTGGTTTGTGTTCCACGTTTCCCTTTGTGTTAGTGTTTCCAAGTTTATAGGAGTTGTGACACTCCATCTCCTTGTTTCCCTTATAAAAAGGAGATTGAATTTGTCTGAAGAAAAATGTTCTTGTGTTGCTCATTTCCTAAGGCTCCAATTGTGATTGCATCACATTCTTTCTTCATTAAGTTTTCCACAATACGTTTGCTCTGTTTTCTTTTGTTTGACAATGTCGTTTGGTCTATTATCGAAGATGGCTACGTTAAAGACTAACCATATACGACACACAATCAGTGGCATGCAAAAAATCACAACCATTATGCCAGTGATAAGTCAAGTGTTGAACAATAGGTTGATCGGAAGAGAATTCAGTTCCGTCGCCGTCGTCCCCACTATGTTCAAGAGAGAAGACTACAAGAGGACTATATACGACGCCATTTTCTCCGATTGGAAGGTCCCCCCTCTCTCTCTCTTACTCTTATTACAGTGCTACAGTCTTATGTCTAATACGCATTATGAAATTAAGCTGACCTTTTTCTAAGCCAATTCCTCCAAGTCACTGATTGTGTGTTGTTTGCTCCTAAACTTACACAGATTCTTACAAGGCCCAATGATTGGAACGACTTCAAGAATGGAAAAGAAGGTGTCCGTAGATACAGACATGAGGACTTACCCCCTATATATCGTACGGGTCTATATGAGCTAGGCGTAGCAGTCATCGGTCAAGACGACCTAGGCCAAAAGTTTGATCCTGATAATGTTGTTCCTACATATCTAGGACAAAGTGTAGACATGAAATCAAGACTCCAGGATTATGGAAGATGCGGTGGTCATTTGCCCGCAAGTTTATTCGAAGACCTATCCTCGAAAGAATTCTGCATTTTATTTAGATATGCTATGGTTATTATGTTTTCTTATCTTCTTCTTTTATTTTTATTTTTCAGCAAAGTATATAACTTTGATCCTAACTTATATGATTGTTTCTCTGCTTTACTGTGATGAATCAGATGAGATCTAAATGGGAAGCTGCTGCAATAGAAGGGATGATTTTGAGTACAATTGATTATCCGTGGAACTGTTGAGATTGATCTCTCCAATTGAATCTGCAAAGAAGAATACAAGCATCAATGATAAAGGTTTGGTTCCTTTTCTTCTAGACCAAGTTGTTACCAGAATCAAAGAAGAGAAGAGCAACTATAATTTCCTCATTTCAATACTTAAAAACTGATGAGACCATTTGGTTAACCAGAGTAAACCTACACTGATTAGGTCAAAGATATGGCTTTTTTCTAATGAAATTGTATCCCACTCATCCACGTTTCAAATTTCTAGTGTTGGTAGTTAATTTGTATAGTTTCTGTTTGTGTGTTGTTAAACCGAAATTGTTTGTACCAAACTACAAGTTTGGTTTTAATATTGGTTTAGCGAAGCAGTCTTTCTGTTTCGGTTTATTAATTTAAAACCTGTGACGTGTTCTCATAAGACCTGTCGGCAGAATCGACACCGTCGATTATCTCAAAGATGAATCTAATCCAACGGTTATTAATAAAGCATAAAACTGACGGCTAAGATTTGTTTTCTAAAAATCACGTTAATCACACACCACGTGGACTATCATTATCTCTAATCTATAGTTTTAAAAATGGGAATTTCCACACGATTAAATTAAAAAGCCTCAAAGATTGGAAAATTTATAGGTAGGAGGAGATAGAAATCGGAATCTTATCGCCGTCGTTAAGATGCCACCGGCCGGGGAACTCCGACATCAATCTCCATCGAAGGATAAACAATCTTCCGATACTCAATCCACCGAAGCAGCAGCGGCGGCAGCAGCAGCGATATCTGCGGCAGCTGCAGATGCGGAAGCTGCCGGTTTATGGACACAGATCAAAGCGGAAGCTCGCCGTGACGCTGAGGCGGAGCCGGCGTTAGCTAGCTATCTTTATTCGACGATTCTTTCTCATTCGTCTCTTGAACGATCTATCTCGTTTCATTTAGGAAACAAGCTTTGTTCCTCGACGCTTTTATCCACACTTTTATACGATCTGTTCTTAAACACTTTTTCCTCCGATCCTTCTCTGCGTAACGCCACCGTCGCAGATCTACGCGCTGCTCGTGTTCGTGATCCTGCTTGTATCTCGTTCTCTCATTGCCTCCTCAATTACAAAGGCTTCTTAGCTATTCAGGTGAAATCTCCTTCAATTTGATTTTGATTCCACCATCTGATGAATCCATGATTCTATATATTGATGATTTGATTCATGGAATTTTGTTGTTAATTTGATTCTTCAATTATGTGAATTTGCATCATTTGATTTTGTTTTCGAGATTTTGATTTGTGAATATTGTTTTTGGTTAATCATGTGAATGTTGTTACATCGTGATTTTGTTTTTGTTTTCAGTAGTTAATTTGGTTTTGTTGAATTTGAATCAGGCGCATCGTGTTTCACACAAGCTATGGACACAATCACGGAAGCCATTAGCTTTAGCTCTGCACTCAAGAATCTCCGATGTATTCGCGGTGGATATTCATCCAGCGGCGAAGATCGGAAAAGGGATACTTCTCGACCACGCAACCGGAGTTGTTATCGGAGAAACAGCTGTGATTGGGAACAATGTTTCAATCCTCCACCATGTGACACTCGGTGGAACAGGTAAAGCTTGTGGAGATAGACATCCGAAGATCGGTGATGGTTGTTTGATTGGAGCTGGAGCGACTATACTTGGAAATGTGAAGATTGGAGCTGGAGCTAAAGTAGGTGCTGGTTCTGTTGTGTTGATTGATGTGCCTTGTCGAGCTACCGCGGTTGGGAATCCGGCGAGACTCGTTGGAGGAAAAGAGAAACCAACGATTCATGATGAGGAATGTCCTGGAGAATCGATGGATCATACTTCATTCATTTCGGAATGGTCAGATTACATCATATAAAGTTATTATTATTATCATTGTTTCTGTGTCTTTGAAAGTGAAAACCTTTTGACTATGCTCTTCTTGTAGAGAGCTGTGTTTTTGTTGTACTATTTACTACAATTTACAAAACATCTTAGGATGATCAAAGCAATACAAGAAATAGCCTTAATTTGATTTCAATCATTAGTTATCAAAGAGTTTTACACCTCTTCTACTTCGGACTTGGGTTTTCGGATTTTGGCTTGGATTTACACTTGTCTGCATCCATTTAAAGGGCTGGGCAAAGATAGAAGGAGCATTGGACTTGTTCAGACTAACCGAAGCATTCTTCACCTTTACCCATCCGCTACTATCCTTATGTGTATCTTATACGGTATAAGTTATACCGGTATATAGCTTACGGCTTCTGCGTAGAAGGATTGGTCTCTATTTCCATTTACAATTCAATTAAGATTTTCGCTCTGCTGTCTTAAGTTGAAGATAAATCTCAGACTAAAAAGTCTGATTATCCAAATAGTTTAGGATCAAGACTCTTATAAATATCAATATTCAGCAAGAATCAGATTCTTATTAGGTGAAGTCTGTGCTTGTAAGACCAATTAGTGAATCCAACTAAAAAACTCTCAATTCTTGAAGAGAACCAAAAAATGCAAAATGAATTTATTACTTGTGCATCTGCAGAGTTCATCACCAAACAATTATTACAATGTCACAACAACAGAACATTTTACATGTATAAAAAATGAAATAATAAACAACATTTCGTGGCTTCTTAACAAGAGAACTGTCGTGTCGGCTGACTACAAAAGAATGTGTTATATAAGGATGGCTTGAATTTCTCCTCCTCTTCTTCTTCTTCTTCTCAAATCTCCCTAGTGATTGTTCTATATCTACAATAGCCCTAAGATTTCTCCTCAGCAAAATTAGAACCAATGAATAAGTAGTGCGCACCCACTCTTAAGCCGCCGAAATTCGGGTTTTGATCGGCTTAAGCTTTAATCCCATGCTTTCAGGAGAGAGAAGCTCAGGTGAAATACAAGAAGGGCTCAGAGGACTTCTAGGGCTCTCTGTGAAGAGAGATGGTCTATATAATCCGTAACCCATCAAGAAATATTCCATTGGGATCAACATTGCATGTGGTTGCTCCTCTGTTACCATTGAACCACAAGCCTGAACCTGAAAATATCTCAAGGAAACATCGATTAGTTACCGAGAAAACCAAAGATGTTTTGGTATGTAAAGCTGAGAATTTGTTTTCTCAAACCTCAACCAAAGCACAGTATCCTCTATCCAAAGTTGCTGCCATGTGAACAGCTTCTGAGTAGAAGGGAGATTGATCTCCGATGAAGATAAGTGTCCTGCATTTTAGTTTTTTCAATCCACTTGAGATGTCAGGTCTCCTGCAAGAGCAAATGTTTGGTTTACAAAGTTAAGAAAGCCAATATTTGACACCATGAATGACTGCTGCTTAGATAAAAAGATTTAAAGGTGTTAGTTGTGTTACCGATCAATGGCGTCAAGAAACCGCATAACGTTTACGCTTTGCCTCTCATCAAGTAGCTGAGACAATTACCAAAAGTGCAAGGTGTCAATCACTGATACATAAAATTCTATCTATTGATGAAACAGAAAAAACGAGAGTTAAACACTGACTCTTCTGCAAGCTTGTGCTATATCTGACTCTGGAATCTCAACGTTACCACGGACTTCCTGTAGCAAGAAGTTGCAACCGGTTTAAATAAGAGAAGTCTGGAAATGCAACAAGTGTAGAGAGAAATGGTAACTGCAGTGAACACACCTTACTAAAATATCTCTGAAGCAAAAATTCCTTTACCACTCCACACATTCCATAGTAATATAACAAGTTTGAGATAACCTTGTTGTAAAACCATTCAGACCAAGACGGCGCCTTGCATAACGGTGAGACAAGAATCAAACCGAGAACCCGTTCTCTATGTTTCATCTGAAAAGTTTTAAAACATAGAACAGATAATAAACACAATATTCGTCTGAAGCAATGGACAGTGAAAAGAGAAAAATAAACAGGAACATACCGCAAATAAGGTGAGGATATAAGCACCTGCAGTCACTCCCATACACATCACAACACCAAGGCTGAACAAAAGCTTATACATTGTTAGTGCCAACATTTTCAATTACAGAACAATTGAGAACTTCAATAAGCCAGAGATAAGGGATTCAATCATTACCCGAAAAAGTTGAGAACTTCAAGGATCTGATCTGCCAAGTTTTCAGCAGAAGGGGCTGAGTCATTAGGACAAATCGGAGCAGCTCCTAACTGCAAAAACTCTTCGTGAAAATGCAAGAAACCAGAGAAATCATGTGAGTAATCACGCCAAGCAAACTACACGGCAAGTTAAAAAGAGAAACTAAAATATGGACCTCATGCCCAGGTGGACTGATATGATAAATGCAGAAGTTATGAAGCAGCAATGAAGCTGCTTCAGGGCAGAAGAATAATCCTTGGAAGCATGACATATCTGAACAAGAAACAACAAAAACATTAATAAATTTAGCCACTACATTAGTGTCTATAGAGATTGTTTAGACTTACGGTTTAAGGCCAAATCAGGATAAGTAATCAATGCTGGCTTTTCCCGATCTCCATAGACAATGACAGACACAACACCACTAGCAGTTTTAACACGATGCTCCTGAACACAAGAAACAACCAAGTTTTAACAAAAGTAACGGATCCTGAAACCAACAGAAAAAAAAACTATACTTTTAACCATATTATTTGTCTACTCCATATTCTTAAAACATGTGTTTGTTTTATCTTCAGTAAACAATTAATCTAGTTTCTTTTTTGTAATTGTATACTAAATATAGTAACATGACAACTGACTTTAGGTGGAAAAGAAATGTACATATTTACACAAACAATAAGAAACACAAATGAGAAAAATCTCTGTTAAAGCTTTTCCATGTGCAGCTTTACCACTTTTAAGGGCAAAAAAACAAAATCAAAACTTCATCATCAACAACCCAAAGGAAAGGCCTAATTCTAATCATTGTGGTTTTTATTTATAAAAAGAGAATGACAGTGTAAAAATGATGAGCTAATATGAGTCTTAATGAGATAATAAAGAAGCATATAGTCTTAATAAACAAAAGGTTAAAGGTAGACAAAAACAGCTGGATTTTTAT